GGTCATTGGATCAAGCACATGAAACCAGTGGCGGATCCAGCAGGTGTTCAAGGGGTTCGGACGAACCCCCATTTGTGAAGAAACGTAACAAAATACAACTGGGTCCTGGCTTACAAAAGGCATGCTAACCTACCTAGGCATAGGTTGTAAGATCAGACAAAGTAAGCTTAGCCCAACTAGTTTTCAATTAAATAAATTATACACACTGTTTTTGGTTCGCCGTCGTAATAATTTATGTACGAAGGGCGTTCTTCAGGCTTATCGGATCATCGATCCATGGAAGAAAGACTTCGTATCTAACTACTCGATGTTATTGTGATATAAAAATGTATTGTCTGTCTGATTTTTTTTCCCCTCTGTGATAGGCCTAAAGAATGAGATAAAATTACCTGACCTTTTCTCAAGAGGGGGAAAACCTTGAATTTTGAAGAACTTAAAGGTCATTTAAAGACTCCTCAGAAGTCGGGAAAGCTCATTTCCGGCCATCTAGGAATCAAAATTTTCCTGAGGGAGGACCCTCCTTTCTTTTGGGGGGTTTTTTGGAAACATTTTGAACCCCCCTCTTTTAAAATCCTGGATCCACCCCTGGAAACACATATACCTACTCAGCTGCCTTGGAGAATTCCATAATGTTGCAGCTCTGTAATCAGATCGCATTTTGTGTTTGAGCCTACCTCTACAGTAGGTACCCAGTTGTACTCTTGGCTGGAGAGACACAACTGTAGGTAAAGTGCTTTGCCTATTAGACACAAGCAAAAGGCTCTGCTTGGGATTGAAACTCAAACTTGAGAAGCAAATCTACAACCGCTGTGCCAGACTGCTCTTATATTCGAAAGTCATTTGAATGTCACGCACATTGTATTTTAAGGTAGCAGATGGATTAGTAGGGAAGTTGATTGTTATACAATATGTTTTCACAATTTTATTTTCCTCACACGAAATGGTAGTTAACAAAGGGAAATCTTCCCTGTACAGTACATGTGTCAACTACCATAGCATGCATGTTCTGTGGAAAATAGTTTAAACAAAAAAAAAAAAACAAATAAAATGAGTTTACTTGATAAAAATAGAACTAAAACTTATTTAGGGTCATTTGGTACAAGTCTCCTTCGATATTCTAGTCAGATGAATTTCAATGTCATGCACATTGTATTTTTAAGGTGGTAGATAGATTAGTAGGGAAGTTGGTTGTTATACAATATGGATGTTCTGTGGAAAACAGTTTAAACGAAGAAGCAGAAATAAAATGAGATTACTTGATAAAAGTAGAATTTTAAATTAAACTTATTTAGTGTCATTTGATAATATTAAACAGAGATTGTTATTGTTAATTAATTATTTTGTAAAGATTAGTACAAGTCTCCTTTAATTTAAACTTTTACTTTCCATGGTCTTCAACAGGTTTGGTCTGTAATTAGAATAATAAAGATAAAAACATTGTTAATATGTGCTCACAGAAAAGTAGTCTTTAATTGGAGGTGTGTTTGTTTTGTTTGCTTATTGCAATTTTTCCACACATAAATAATACATTGACAAAATTAATTTCATTTATAAATTGAACAGATAATAATATAACAGTATTTAAGACTAAAAATTAATGATGACAATTCATATTTCATCAATAATTATAATTAAATGTAGAACTGAAAATATGAAATGTGTGGATGGAGTTCAATATAAGTTCAATGAACTTTAAGCAATGAACACCAGTAAAATATATTAACAATAACAAATTAGGAGTACAACGTAAATGAAATATACAGTAGTAATAAAAGTCATGTAAAAAAGAAAAAGGTTGGCGAATTGGAAAATTAATCCCTCGTAAATAGGCTTAAGTAGAGAAAAGCGTGACATAGATATTATACATACAAGGAAATTAATAATTTTTTATAATTGAATTTAAAGCTGGAAATGGAGGGGTTGTTTTGTAATTCTGAATCAAGATTGTTCCAAATTTTCGGACCCATGTAAAACACAGATGAACCCCTTAATGATTCGTAGAGTTCCACGGATATGTAAAAAAGCTATTACTAGTTGCCACTCAGGTATTGAAGGTGTGAAGATTTGATATTTTATCGAATAAAGTGCATAAATGATATGGTATATGATTAATGGATAATTTAAACATAAATAAAGCAATTTGTAATATATTTAGATCAAATACGTTTAATACATTAAGTTTATAAAAAAGTGCTTTGGTATGCGACATGTAACATGCACAAAATTTGGATAGTATGTTTCTGCTGTTTAATTGGAGGTGTCTTTAATTAGAGGGAGACCTGTTTTTAAAAATTGAAATAACATTAACTTGTCCCAATTTTTATCTTGTTCTTTCATTTCATGAAAAATGTAGAGTAGTGTAACTCTTGTTTTATTAGACTTCAAAGTTTCCAAACATTTTTTAATATAAAATATTTAGTGTAGTCCAAGTAGGGCCTACTTTAGGTTTCTCAGACATTTCATAAATTCTATAGTATTTAGTTCATTAATATTTCTCTGGTGTCTCTTCAATGTTTCAATTGATGTTTGTGTTTATAGGTCAAATATTTCCAATATGAATTATTGATTTTGTCTAGTGGTTCAAAGAGAATTGTCAAAATATTCTCAGGGCACTTTTGTATTGCAGTGCTTATTATTGTGAGCAGTCTTTAAACATTACATTTCATTTTTTTTGTGAAACTTGACTTTAAAAAACTGTTAAAAGCCAACAAGCAGCTGATACATTTTAATATGAACTTTAACACTTTAGTTGCCTCATTCATTCTGTCTTCCCATTGGTCCAAACTGCATCACCTTACACGTTGATTATTCCATAGCTATTCAGGTATAAACTTAGTGTTTCTCTCGCTTGATAATGATGGTTGAACCACAGACCATATGTGGCGAAGACAAGCAAACCCAGTCACTCGTCGCAAAAATTGATTTTTAGTTATTAATACAGGGTTAAACAGTAAAATGGGAGCATGGTAAAAGAATCATTTAAATCTGACATTTCATTATTAAGTTACAGGAGTTTAAGCATACAGCTGTTTAAAGAATAATATTTGAGAAATCAGCCTTCAAAGTTTATGATTCAGGCATTCCTCAGCCAGAAACCATCACCAAATCCTCAGAATTGTTTATTTTAACATTGAACATTGGAAAAATAACAGCATAGCATGATATATACTGTAGATATACTGTAGAGATACTGTATATAAAGTATAGTATAATGGGTATTCAATTTAGATTTTAGAATTATTTTTTTCTTCGTCTCTCCACCCATAAAGTTGGAGACCCAATACTAAGAAATATGACACTAAATGTACAGCTTTCATAATAATTATGTATTACAGCAGTTGTGTTGATGTTTCTTATCAGTTATTATCCGGGTTGGGCTATAGTTTGTTGGTGAAGATTCTTATTTTCTAATTCTTTTGGTCCTTTGCTCATATCCTGTGTCACCAGGATTATTGTGCTTATTCTACTGGTTCATTTCGTTGACTACGATTTTTTGTTGAGTATTATTTTCATTCGACTGGTTCGTAAATAAACTTCGTTGACAACAAAAATTAACGTAAACAGAGTGTGTTAATAAGTTTTTCACATGACCAAAACAAACATGTCCGATTGGTCAGTTTAGCAACAACATCTGCGTTTAAATTTACATAAAATTTCAGAAAATATAAATGATATATTTACCCACATGAAGTCAAAAAATAAATGTAGGCTACCAAAATTCAAAAACTGGATGAAAATATTTTTTTTAACGAAAAAACTATGCTGCCACAATCTGAAGAAACCTTCCAATCGGATACAATAATCAAGACACGCAGAAGATCCGGTATTCAGGCATGCCCATGATAATTGCAGTCACTGAAAATGATGGTTATAATAGTGTTCCCTGAGCAGCTTACTGTAAAAGTTGAAATTAAAAAAAGTGCTGCATCACAGACATCCAACGGGAGCTTATCCCAAAGAATGGGAAAGTGAAAACTTTAAAGCATTAGAAAGTATAATACATACTCCAAGTATTGAAATACACGCCATCGTGTTGGGATTCAATATTTCAACATTATTTATGTCATTATCACAATATTATTCATATTGAATCCCAAAACAATGGGGTGTATTTCAATACTTGGAGTATGTATTACACTTTCTTATTTGAGATTAATCAGTGGACCTTTCGGTTTAAAGCATTAGTCCGAGCATCAAAATTAAAAACTTGCATTAGAAGGAAATAAAAGAGATAAAAAAAATCAGGGCACTAATAATTTTTTATGTCCTAGTGGAAGCCTTGACCTTTTCCAGTTGGTCCAAGACATTTGTGTCCATTGATTACAGGATGCCGTCTTTAGCTACGGCAATTGAGATGTTTCCACCTCTGAAAATAATCCAATTAAAAAATTCATTAACAAATGAATTTAAAAATGAAAAGATCAAGTTACAATGGTGTTGATATAGGAATTGGGGATAGTAAACCTGATTGTTTTTTAATGTGAACATGTAGAATATAATAAGAATATTTAGGGCTGGCTGTTACCTTGGAGAGGTATGGAGGTGTGTAAATGGGATGAACCAAAATATGGGAGTCATTTATAATCCTTGTGCGGGTTAAGGGTCAGAACCAGTGGCGGCTCTAGGAAATTTTTTCTGGAGGGGTTAAGCTGTCCGACATAGAGATTTGCGCACGTAGGCCTGACCTGGGGAAGGGTTTGAAAGGGGGTTCTCCCTCCAAAATGAGATTTTTTTTAAATAGCAACCTCTGGATGGTCGGAAATGGTACTTTCAGACTGTGGAAGACATATGGCCCTGTAATAATGATAAACATTCAACCAAATTTAAATGATATATTGAAAAAAAATTTAACAAAATAAAATACAGTAGCGCTAGTACTAAGCCTGCTTTGTTGCATTTTCACCTTGTGACCAGCATCATGATTCATTTGGACATCTCATTTGCATATTAATCTGAGTGCATAGCTACAAAATGCTACTCTATTATCTAATGGTAACTATGGAAGGTACTTAAAACCAAGGAGGTATCAGAGGTGTCCACTGCATTGTTTAATGACTATTGATTGGTTTGTATTTTAAAGCTGAGGTATTCTTTACGTATTTACGGTGCTATTGATTGGTTCGTGTGTTGAAGGATGCTTCGTGGGCCTGATTCGTTTCATGTGTGCTCTATGTGTTTGGAGCTCATTTTTTAGGTGCCTCAGTTCTGTAAGAGTATTAGTGTGATCAAACATGCAGCCTGGTTTCTTTTAGCTACAACTGTAGAATGAATATTGCAAGTTTATAGTAAGTTAATTATTAGTTGTTTTCACATTAACTTTCAAGTATATCCTCTTTGCCATTTATTAGGGTGTGTCCTACCTGTTGCCTGGATCACTGGTAGGATTTAAGTTCAACCATGCTCAACTCCTCAAGGTGGATACATTGTAGGCCTATTATTTGTTTACAGTTGATCATTAAGTAATTTTTATAAGAAAAAGGCTTGCCCTGTACCCCACCGGGCCTAACAGATGGTCTTCCTGCAGTATTAGGGCTCGAAAAAAGCCTCATCCTGGTGTTTCAGGCCTTTTTCTTATGTCACTGACATTTAGCAACAAGTACTGTAAAAGTTTATTTTTTGATAAATATTTTTTGTCAATGCTGTAATATACTTTGAGAGTATCCTGATACAGTAGATATATTCAGCTCTCTAAAACCATGATTATTTATATTGGTTACTACTTAAAATCTTCTTGAGGGTGACAAAGCATTAATGCCCATTATTTTTTAATAGGCAGCATTATTAATACATCCTTGATGTGTGCTAAAAATACAAACATTTTGAGCTGTCTGTCCTCTAATTGGCTGTGGTACCAGCCACTAATATGCAGTTCATTTTGGTTGTTAAAGTATAATGTCTCCTTGACAACAGAATTGTGAGAATGACTGTTTAAATTTAATTAAAGTCAAGTTCAACTCTTTGAGTGCCAAGAAATGCAATTAGGCGTACCGATAATACTCTATAGGAAGAAAGACGCGTGATTAATAAATAGCAATATTTATAAAATTTTATTGATAGTAACACATTGTAACAATGATTTTCTGGTATCTTCCTAAGTTTTTGTTTTTTGTTGTTTACTTTTTGCGCAATTGCGGTTAAAAAAGTGGAAATAAGGAAACTTTTCTTGGTATTCCGCCTTGTAATCAGAGTGTGTCCCAATGCACAATTTTTTTAAAGACTATTGTTTTTGTATTTATGTTTTTTTAATGTTCTATAACTCAAACTCAAATTCTAAGATGAGTTTTGGAATGTTTTGTGTTGACAAGGAAACTACGGAAGCTAGCTATGTTTCTATGATATCAATCTGTTGATCATGTGAAATTCATGAGGATATTAGTGACAGCATATATTGCCTTCATGATGTAATCTTTCTAAATATAATGATGCATAGTACAGCCAACTTTATTTACGGTATAGCTCCATATTTGAATTCAGATGCGTCAGTCTTCTGTCCCTTCCATACCATGGAGGAATTAGTTGACCTACTCCCCCCCAAAAAAAAAGAATTATGTAACCAACAATCTGCTTGAACTACTTGATTTGTACTACAGTATCTGTATGTCTTTACTGTATAGAGTAATTTAATGTGTGCCATTCCACCTCTTCTATTGAATTGACCACTGAACTGACCGCTGGTAATAATACTGATGATTACTGACCACTGGTATTATTGACCAATCCTCATATCGGCTGTGCTGATGTTAATGATATCAATATTTACCTGCCAAAGGTTATCAATGATAAAGAGTGTTCATAGGATTTTCCAATAAGCTATTGACATTTATTGTCAGTGTAAAATGCCTATGTGGCATTCATCGCCATAGCAATTGAATTATTGCCATAGCAACAGAATTATTTGAGCAATATACGTCCATAATCTCTCCTTCTCCGTAGTGTGGGATGTTATATTGACAGATATTTCACCTGCCAAATGTACTCTAGATATTACTGAATGGTAAGTGTTTATGATACTAGGTAATCAATTTTCTGAAAGTTCTGTACCGTTCTTATTTAATTATTATTTTATAACGCTAGATATAAAATTATTATGGCCGTTGTATTGAATTTTGTTAACAAAGTGTTATTGTGAGGCCCTTGTAGAGGGAATATATTTTAGGAGAAAACGTTCTCTGAATGTAAATAAAACATTAAATGGAAACATGCTAAACAAATATGCCACCAAATCAGAAATAAGTAAGCAAGTTTTTTTGTGACAAATAAGTGATGGATGATGATGATTGTATTTTGTTCTAATTTTGGGGTCCACACATGATTTTCTGTACATTTTTGGTAATTAAAATCGCGCCATACTATATTTATAGCACTATTACCATAAATTATTCATATTTGATATAATAGTTATGTAAATTAATGGTTTATTATAGATATAGAGTATGCAGCTTCTTAAGATTAAGCAATAATGTGTTTACTGAATAGACCACCCGTTACGAATAAGTCTTGTGTTCGATGTCCAATATATGAAACATGTAGTCTGCAGGCACGTTGACCTGACGATTATTGCCAACAAATTTTCACAAAAACGTGATGCAATAATCACAAAATGATTATTATTGTTTATTTTCAGTAAATATTTCAGCCGTTCTAGTGTAGTGATTTCTATTCAGGTTGTGAACCTCATTGTCGAGGGTTCGAACCACACGCTGACCATTCTCGGCCAGCCATGCTTAAGTTACCCCAGCTTGCACTGTTGACAGGTTGTGAAGTGGCTCTCGCTATGTTTCAGCCCTAGGTGTGAGTAGTTCATGGCTTATAAATTAAATATTATGGCTACCTCTTATCAATATTAATGGTAGCAACAGGCCTGACATACAAAGATAAAAAAAAACACACACATTGAATATGATGAAAATAGTGACTTAGACATCATAAATAGATATTACCTAATAGTGCATCCAAAATTTTCAATTCTTCTATTAATAAACAGTAATTATGATTAAAATATCACAAAAATAATAAAATAAATTGATAGATATGGCTGATGGATTATAGTATTTTATACCTCATGATACCATAATGTGTCATTAAGCACTGCTCTCATTAACATACTATATTTGACTTCCTGCATGCAATGACGGTTGTCGTATCATATCATTCGATATCGCTAGTCAAATTTACTTTTAGACCCTAAGCAGTTGTGTTGAACTACCACTTTCAATTCTGGAATTATACAGGAAATTTGTTTCCAGTTCTCAAGGTAAAAAGTAGGGCATGCATATTAACATACTCAATAGTAAGTTCTAGTTTTGAAGTTCTTCGATTCACATAAATGTTACTGTTTTGCTATAGAGCTAGTCATGTCATGCATGTTATCATATTATGCTTGTATGTTTTTTTATTTATTTATTAATGTTGTATATTTTATTAATATTCCATTCTAAACTAGATATCCACAAATGAAGGTATTGTGGAGATCAAGTTATAATACAGTATCTCAAGCATACTCTATAGTTACAGGTCATTGATATAGTTTTCACCTAATTAGCATAAACAATTACTCAGTTTAAAGGGCCATGAAGCTTATTTAACAATTTCAAATAAAAAACAAAATAAAAAAAATATAATAGAAAATTTAACATTTTAGTTACCTCTATGCATTGAGGACTTTTTAGAATTCCTGGTGGTAGTAAATAATCTATGCGGACGAAAGCTAGAGATTAAATTTTACAAGTTAGTCCTTAAAAGTGCTGGGACTGTCATTTCTTTTGTAATACTTTTAACCTAAGAGGGGACTTCAAATACTGTAATAATTAGGCCCAATAAAAAAAATTATTATTATATCACCCTCGTGCACATGTCTTCTATGCTACTGAAAAAATTTTTTTTTTTAAATTAATTTTTTTAAAAATGTATTATTTTTTCATTAAAAAAAAATTAAATACAGTATTAATAGTAGATATTGTTTGTATTATCTCCATAATGTTTTACTTTGAATATCAATGCACTGGCAAATAATTAAAGGGTTATATTTGGCTTTAGCAAAATAAAAAATAAAAAAAAAGCCTCCCTCCCTCATACTTTTCCAGCCTAGATAGGATGATAAACTGATAATATTTTTTATAGACCGCATTGCTCAATAAACTACCCATCTGAAATTGAGGAATAATAAATAGGAAAATTACAACTCACTTTAATCTTACAGTACATGTGCAATATATTGCTATTACTTAACTTATTGAATATTGTTTATCCAATTATTTGGAAAAGAAAAATTGCATATTCCATATTGATCCGGCATTAAATCCGAACTGATTGCAGGATTAAGAGTTCATGGTCTGTGGCCTCATGTGGCTTAGGTTGGGCAGTGCTGGCAAAAAAATCATTATAATTTTACACGGAATAAACCACTTAAGTATTATGAGTACGTTATCATACAATTTAACAACCTAGGAATTAACAACCTCCAATTCAAAAATATATTGTTCCAGATCAATCAGTTTCTGTTTCTTTTATTTACATAAAAATTGCAGCCAAGGCTGAATTACATTATACTGTATTTACAAAAAATGTACATTGAAACATCAAAACATCAATCAAGCAAAAGCAAAAGTCATGAAAAATGGCGATAAAAGTAACATAAAAATACATTAAAATTGTAATATGTAATAACATAATAAGACATTTCAAAAGTAAATGAATGGAAATGAAGAGCAACCATGACTGGCAAACAATAGGTCAATGTGAAAAGAACAATATGGTGATAAGTTAAGAACATATGGTATGGTAAGTCATTTTGGAAATACAGGTCTCCTTCCAATGAAAAACCCCTCCAATTAAGGACTAACTCCAATTAAAGACAACTATTCTATGGTCCCTAATTAACAAATGTCTTTTATCTTTATTATTCTAATGAGAGACCAATGCTACTAAAGTCCATGGAAACCCAGGTCCCAAAAGTGGTCTTTAATTGAAAAAAGACCTGTAGTCCAAATAATATAAATATATAAAAAAATACCATATTGCAGAGGCCAAAAATAAATAAAAGGCCAATCCAATATTTGCCAGTTTGCCAATCATTACCATAGAATATAAAAATGTTATCCAACACCATTGTAGCAGTGACAGTATATAAATATTGACTGCTCATGAGGGGAATGGTGAAGTCTATTGCCCCGAGGTGATGTGGAGATCGTAGCCTGTCTTCCTGAGACTACGGTCTCCACATGACTGAGGGGCAATAGATTTCACCGTTTCCCGGATCTGGAGCAGTCAATATTTGTTTTTTATA